GGAATATTAGTAGAGTGAGACTGGAAAAGCACTTTATTAGCATTTAATTAACTGTGGCACAGGTTTGAGGAAGCAACAGAGTTTATGCATTATGTAGTGTAAAATTATGTTCATTTAATTTAAATTACAGTATTGTAAAGTTTAAGGATTTGCAGGAATGCAGGAATTTGCTGTGTATAAGAACAGGAAAAAAAGAAATTCTTAAACCAGCTTCTTAAATAAAAAAAGATAACTTCAAACATTCAAAGTAGAAGTTGTTGTCCTAAAATGTCACAGTTTTCTTCTTGTTTATATATTGCAAGGAATCAACACTTATAGCTATAGCAGGTCAATCTATGTGTGATCTTTTAATCAAATTCATACAGTATCCTCTGAGTTTTAGTGGGGTACTGAGTGTGAATCTTATTTTCCCCGTGTAAAGCAAAGCAGCAGAAATGATACTTGTGAATAGAGGTCACATTTTGGTCTTTAAATAATCACTCAAGTTGTTTTTTCAAGCAAACTTTAAACTTTCCTGTTCTTTATTTTACATGGTAAAGATTCAAATAAGGACATTTGAGTGTTCAGACAAAAGAGATGCCGCATCTCTAGGAAATTGTATTGGACCTTTTTTAAAAAATTTTATGGACTAAGCAGTAACCAATAATGAAAATATTATCTGCATAAAATGAGGTGTTTTGTTAACAATGTGGTAGTGGAATCTCTTGCAGCCAGACAGGAGAATGGAGGAGGGATTTTAGACAATGCTTACAGTTAATGCTTAACATCTAACTTTTAAATTGTTGTTACATTACAACACCACAAAAAGTCAAGCTGTAGTTTCCCAAGCTATACTAATAAATCCCTTTTGTGTATGTTTATCGATATTTAGATGTGTGCAGATAAGCACACAGTGTAAAAAAAAAAAGAAAGAAAAAAAAAAGGCTGAATTACTCCTCAGCAGTAAATCTAAATTGATCATGATGACAATGAGTGCTGAGTGTGCAGCTAACATTTCATGACAGTGCAGTTAGAAAGAGATGCCATCGGACATGCCCTAGAAGGTTCCTGGGTGGGGATGTGAGTGCATGTGAGTGTGCATGTGTCTTTAGCTATTTAAGAGATAGGAAAATATATTTGAGATGTTCTAACCTTTCTTAGGTTTTAGTTTTAAGATCAGAATAATAATTCATGCTCAGAATGTGCGCAAGAGGACGTGCACAGAAATCGGTAGAAATGGCACTCTGACTCAAAGTGAGTTTTACTCTCTGAGTTTAGCACCCTGGTTTCGATGGGTGTTGAGCCAATATTGATCTGTTGCCGGGAACAGTCTCACTTCAGTTCCTCTAACATTTACAGATCATTTGCCAGCATACATCACTGATGCACTTCACTCTACCGCCTTAAAAATACAAATAAACCCACACCTGCCTTGATATTAAGGCTGCATTATGCGGAGACATTTCGGTTTTTGGACAGTGAAGCAGTGACTGTGACTGTGGATTTTAAATAAAGGAATCAGGATCTGATTGAAGTGTAGACTTTCAGTTTTAATTCAAGGGGATTTAAAAGATATGGTGTATTAACTGGTTAGCAGCTATAGTCATTTTTATACATAGTCACATATTATCAGAGGGTCAAAATTAAGTAAACAAGCTACATTCATTTTAAATATAAGAATTTGGATGAAAATCTATTCCAGTCAATGACTGCCTGAAGTTTAGAAACTATGGACATCACCAAATGCTGATTTTGACAGACTAGGCCTTTGTTTGTAGGTCTGTCTGCTTCAGTTTTGTCTTTTGCTTGAAATCAGGTGACTGACTTGGCTATTAAAGACCAGCCCATTTTTTGTTATTTGTTTGTTTTGAGAGGCTCTTGTGTTGCTTGTACAGTATGCTTTTTGGATCATTATCCATTTCCATTGTGAAGCGCTCTGTGGCCAGTTTTGTGGCTGAATCTGAGTAGAAAGTGTAACCCTGTACACTTAATTACATAATTCATCTTGCTACCTCTATCTGCAGTCACACCATCAATACATACTAGTGACCTGGTTCCATTCAACATTGCCTCCACCATGTTTGGTCACATGCTTAGCATCATGGGCTATTTCTTTCCTTCTCTATACTTTGCTTGGCTTCCTTCTTTTAAATAATGTACTAGATTATGATTTGGTTATTCCTGAAGGTTTTTGCTGTCTCTCTGATAGGTTTACTTGTTTCAGCCCATATGAGGATGGGCACTTGCACTGACATCTCTTTGTAAGTCAAATATTGAGAATTCCAGTGAACAGCTAACAAATACAAGTTTGAATCTGTATCAACTCCAGATGTTTTATCAACCAGTTGCTTGTCAGTCAACTGTCCAAATAGTATTGAGCCTCTGAAAATTGGTGACTATGTATAAAAATACTTTAGCTCCTTAAAAGTTAACTCAATGCTTTTGTTCAATCCCCTGAATTAAAATTGAAACGCTGGAGTTAGATCATATCTTGATTGTTCGATCTAAAATCAGGGTGGTGGTGCAGGGAGAAAAAACTGCAAGAAACTGTGCATTTGTCCAAGGACTAATGGACCTATAGGACCATGCAGATCCTGCCTTTATTCTAGTTTATATTCCCCACATGATATGGTGTGAAAAACTGGACAGGGAAAAGGAGTCTAGTTCTCTTTTAGACTATTTGTATTACAATATGACAAAAGTTATTGTGAGTTCTTTCTCCAGTGACATGCAAAGCAATATGCTTACCCCAGTTTTAACACTAAACACTAACATGTGGTATATATACTATTAGTTTGCAGTTAGTGAGTCAAATGAATGGGGACACAGTTAACAGGAGATTGTGATTGATTTCAAGTTTGAAGTCACAACTTGATTTCACGTGTTTTAGACTTTTAGCATATTCAAAGAGATGGTTGTCAAAACAAAAAGGTGTGGCGCGGCTTTTTTTTGTATTGTACTTGAACAGATGGTAGGCTTCTCCTCAGGGAGTTTGACAAATTATTTTTAAAGAGCTCCCAGTCTGCAACGGACTCACTACCAAAGCCTACCACATAGGGTAGTCCTCCATCCTGCTTTTTGCATTGGTCATGGAGTACATCTTGGTAAAGTTTCATGGTTCTAGTTTTAAATCAGTAGAAAGAAGGAAGCCAGTGAAAACGGCTTAGATATTTTTCAGTATGTTCAATATGAATCACTTACTCAAAAAATAGCAGTTTTTTAAAAATGTGTACAATAAAATTGTGACTTTTACGTTGAAACGTAAATGTACATCTAAAACTTAATATGTTTATTTAATTTTTGTCAAGAAAGTGCAGATTATGCACCCAAATGCAGACTTCTGAGACCAACAGGGAGACTGTAAACACCAGGGTAACAAGGCGCAGCTGTAACTAATTAAGGGATTAACAAAAGGAATTAAAACTACCTGTACTAGCAATGCAAAAGACACAGAGGATTAATAAAATAAAACAGGAAGTAGATGAAAGGGAACAGAATAGAGACAAAGACTTAAAAACGTTCAAGATGTAACTAGGGAGCCTAGACTGCACTAGACTAAAGTAACAAAAATAAAAAACGCAAAGTAACAGAGGTAAAGAAAATCTGAACTCTAAAATGAGGGTTCAAAGCAAAACTCAAGGAACAAAAGCAAACAGAGAATACAAAATTAACAGCAATTAACAATCCAAAACTCAAAAATGTTGTAAATACTGTTACTTGATTTGGTGTGGTGTGCTCTACAGTCAAATGTGTATGAATGTCATGGGGATAACTCAGAAGCAATTGACTTAAACCCAAACCTGCCTCGCTGATTTTGAAAACTGCTGCCACCCAGTGTCTAAAAGTCCTAACTGCAGTTTGGATTCTGGATTCTTAGGCATTTGTTTTGAAGCATGTACATTAACTTTTCAAAGTTCACCAGGACATAAAAGTTCAAAGCCATGCTTTAACCAAGTCATTTAGCCTTTAGATTAGCTGGCTGTGACTTGTGGTATTTTAGTACTCTGTTTAATATTGGTAAAGGAGAGCCGTGTTGCTCTGGCCACCCCCCAAGATTTGTTCCCCCCCATGGCTGCCCGTGGGTCCTGTGTTGGTAATAATTTTAATAAATGTGAGCGCAAGAGAGAGGAAGACACCTTACAGCAGGGGTGTCAAATTCCAGGCCTCATGGGCCGGTCTCCTGCAGGTTTTAGATATCACCCTGGGTCAACACACCTGAATCAAATGATTAGTTCATTACCAGGCTTCTGGAGAACTTCAGGCCATGTTGAGGAGGTCATTTAGCCATTTAAATCAGCTGTGTTGGCTCAAAGGCACATCTAAAACCTGCAGGACACCGGCCCTCAAGGCCTGGAGTTTGACACCTGTGCCCTACAGTGAGCTGAAGCATTATTTTTGTCATTTGTGTCACTTTGTATGTCCCTCACGATGTCACCCTCTCCCCCCCACTGCGCCCGGCACTCTTCTGTTTTTGGTGTGCCACCCCAATATTTTTAGTGGCCCCCATATGGCCACCCCTGTGAAAAAAATGCTGGATGCGCCTGTTGCACTCACGTGCTTTACAAGAGAAAGCCAGTCAGAATTAGCTTAAAGTGAGGGCAGCTTATTTCACAAGATAAAGAATGATTATTTAAATCGTGAGTTATGGAAAACTATTTTAGCAGATTTTAAGAAATGGACATAATAGAGTTAAGCCCACTGAAAGTAACTTAATGCACCAGTCTTCCTAATAGTATAACTCAGTATAATCCGCTGCTGATGTGATTGTACTTTTCCGTGAATAAATGTCTGTAACAGAACATATCTAGTGGTCTTCTCAAATTTGAGTAGCCCTGCTCAGAGGGGTCTTGTGCTGCTATTCCTGCATACAAACCACCTCTGGTCTTTTTTCCTTGAAGAGGGCGCCTTTTTTTCTCTCCGCACAGCCACGCCGCTGACGCGGCTCCGCACCCGGGTCACGTGACCAGGCGAAGCGGCCTCTCCTCCTCCTCCTCTCTCGGTCCTTCCTTCCCAGGGTTCAATGAGCGTTGTGTGGCCCCACCCCGTCTCTCTAAAAGCGCTGTCTATCTGTTCAATGTAGGCTACTATTCTCGGAGAGAGAAAGCAAGAGAGAAAGGGAGAAAATAATAACCTCCAAGAATCGGGTATTCCCGTCTTTCACCTTCCTCGACCAGCGGCCAGGAGGGGAGCGGCCTTCACGGTGGGAATGTGCTGCTACAACAGCCCCGCGTCCTACTTTTTGTGAATGTAAATGCACATGTAGTGTCAAGTCTGTAGCCTGTTTACCCACCTAGGATTCAAGAGGAATCTACATATGTGTATATAAATGTATGTTTGTATGACAGCGTGTGTGCGTGTGCACATGTATAGGCCGTATGTAGGTTATAAAAGCCGAGCCTGACAGCGGGTGTAGCTTTTTCACCTGCAAGAAACGTGGATACATTTCGAGGGATTTTCACGTCTTTGGTCACGTTTTCTTTTTCTGTTATTTTGTCCCCCTCCTATTTTTTTGTAATGATTTCCCCCCTCTCTCTCTTGAAGGGATTCATCGGAGTCGAGCCAGAAATTAAGAAAAAAAAGTCTATCGGTGCGCAGTTTTGGAGGCTTGGTGGTGATGTGAGGGGCTGATAACACATTTCAGCAACAAAAGCGAGGGGCAGAGAGAGAGAAGGCCCTTTGGAGGAGAAAACGGCAAGGAACAGCCATCACATATAAGGAGGACAAATCGGAGGGGGGATACTGGATCATTTCGGATTTGGAGGTGGCGAGGGATCAAGACGAAAAGACAACCGCAGTGAGTTTGGGGCTGATTTGATGCAGAGAATGAAAAAGAGCCGGATGACGACGGAAGAAGCGAGAATGCCACACATGTAGCTCGTTTGGGTGTAAATATTATTTTTCTTACAGCTGTCCTGCTGGGTCCCCGACGAAGACAGCCGTCGGGGAGACAGAAAAATAGATATAGAGTCTAAGTATACACCCATGGAAATGTTTGTCATGAAAAGCGACGTGGTAACGAGCGGCGCTACAGCACAGGCGAGCTTTGCGGACACGCCGAGTTCGGCTCCTTGTCACGGGCAGCTGTGAGACGCAAGACCCGGGCTTTTGGAGATGCAAATTAGGCTGTTTTTTCTGCCTCCGTTTGAGGTGAACCGCCGTTTTTGGGTCTTATAGCGGACATTGTGGATTACAAGTCTTTATCTTACACGGCTGAAGGGGGGGAAGAGTTTGGACAAACGAAACACAAACTACTGCATATAAAAGGGAAAAGCCCGAGCCGGATTCAGCAAACTGAGAAGGCGGCCTCCGTGTCGTCAGCAACAGTATCCTGCCCTTTCTCTGACAGCAAAATACGCGTTACGGACTCTAAATCTCTACAGAGGGGCGCCACGGACCTTAAACGGTGTAAATGTGGGTAACGTTGCTGCCAAATCCGCGGGTCAAACGAGGCATCTAGACTAGTTTATCTGATTTATTTTTCTTTCTACATTACCCCCCCACCTTCCCTTCCCCTCCACCACTACCACCTCCTCCTCTACTTCTTCTGCCACCACCTCTTCCTCCTCCCCTGGACCCCCTTTTTTCTTTTTTCTTGCGGGAAGATGGGTTGTTTGGGCAACAGTAAGACCGAAGACCAGAGAAATGAGGAGAAGGCTCAAAGAGAAGCAAACAAAAAGATAGAGAAGCAGCTCCAAAAGGACAAACAGATCTACAGAGCAACACACAGACTACTACTTCTAGGTGAGTTTGACACATTTTTACATATCTTATGTGCTTGCTGCTTTACAGACAAGGCCTCTCAGTTTGGACGGTTGAGACCCTGCTTCCTCCCTGCAAAACTTTCTGGGATGTTGTTTTGGGAAACATTGTCAACAGTGTGACTTTGCTCTTGCATAAGGCCAAAAATGCAATACGGTGCCGGGTTTTTGGCATGTTGCTGTCAGACTGTCATTCTGCAATGCTAACTCCCCAAACCTGCTGTAGCACAGCCCATTGGCTGGTTTTAGAGTATGCAGTGAGGCAAACCTGTAAGGTAGGGTAAACTGCTTGCAGTGGTTAAAGGATTAATGAGCACCAACATCAATCTGAACCAGCCTGTCCTAATTGATCATTAAGTTATGTATGTTTGTTCTTTAACACCTTTTCTTTTTCAGTTGTATTAAACTGTGACTTTGCAGCATGCTGAACAGTGCTCATTTTAGCGCTAATCATGCATGCAGGCCTCAAATTTGCCAAACTAACAGAAGCTTTACATCACATGCCAGTTTGTGGGTGTGTAGCCCAAACATAAGATAATGTGACTCAAAGAAAAGCACACTAAAACTTGGTTAATGAAGAAATGAATATGTGTAAGACGCAACATGTGGTTGTATGAGTGAAATTTAGGTGGGCTGGGTCTCTTTCATTATATAAGAGTGTTTTTTGTTTCCTGCAGAGCTCTCATCTGTACCCTCCTCGTATATCCATTCACAGGGTTTTGACTTCTAAGAATTTGCGGCGGACCCTTGGGGGAGGGGGTCAATTTGTTTTGAACATATCACTATTGAGGGTGGATATTGTATGACATGTCACTACTTGCATTAGGGAGGAAGTTGTGATGACTTTTGGAAAGAAGGACAAAACAAATATACCTTCTGTAATTTTTAGGTCTTTCATATCTAAAATATCAGCTTGATTTAAATGCGACCCTAAAAAAAAAAAAAAGTTTCCTTTAAGCGTGAGCAAAGGTAAGTAAGCATAAAAAAAGGGACACTCAGTTCACACCAGCTACTAGACCTTGTGTTAGCTTTGTTGGTAATAAGATGATCTCTGCAGCTTGACATGCAGTGAATTGACCAAAAAGAGTCTACGAGTTAAAGCTGGACACACAACCTAACAGATTCTTCATCATTTGTGGTGTCGGTTTGTATTGTAGCCTAGCTAAAACACAATGTTGACCATCTATTGGCAGAGCAAAATTTTGAGCATGCGTGCCCACAAGGTTTAAATTTGCAGATCATTTATGTGCTTTTCTCAGTATGCTTTTGATTGGATTAACCATCCAGTCTAATTAAAGCCTTAATAGGTCCATGTTAACGAGACCTGTTAAATAAGACCCAATGGGTGAAGGGTAGCAGTACAAAAAGACTACTGGATTGCTCTGTGCTTATACTGGTCAACCCCACAAGCTAGCTTTTCTGTCAGAACGCTGCAGGGTGCTCAAGATGCAGTTCAGCTCTTGTCCATCATGATACTACACCAGATGAACAGTCATGCTTCCTGACGTGGAACCCACCACATTTTGCTGCACACCATTATCCTATAAATTACTACATTTTAATTTGGCATCTTTGTCAGACTTCTTCATTATAAAAAAGCACCCTAAATTCTCAGGGTGTTAATGTAAACAGGTTTAAGATGCCACATTACATGTGAAGCAATATTTAATGAGGTTGCCATGACAAAAACAATAGCATCTTTAATGCTACCACAGTATTCGCAAAACAAAGGAACAAGGATTTTCTTTTTGTTGTTTGTTTTAAATGCTGTGTTAGCGTACAACTATATTAGCAACCAATCTGATGTTTTAGTTTAAGCAATGTTGCAGGAGTTTGTCAGTGCTGATGACTTCTGTGGCTGTCAAGGGCCTAATGGCAGAGTTTAGATTTCATGTTTCTGCAGGTTCTCTGTCATCCAGATCATGGTTGTGTTGAATGCTTGAAAAGAACATAACTGGGCTTCTTTAGATTTATCAAAGAGGCTTCTTTACTTCCAAAATGACCGACAGTTCCAGGAATTGAACCCTTAGTTGGGGTTGTCTCTTTGGAGATGGTCCTTGACCCAACATTGATCATGTGGAATCTCGCATGATCAGTAGTGTTAAAAAAATAAAAGGGCATGGGTCATTCTGTCACTGGGGGCATGGTATGAAATTCTTATATCATATCTCCCACCCCACCATCATGTGAGCTATTGAGGTCACCTGAGGCGAAGTGTGAGTGGGGGTTGTAATGCCTGGGAAGGACTGTTGAGACTGTGTTGTAGGTCGTGATAGCTGGTGTTCAACAATGAACAAATCAAAGTGGACCTAGGTGGCCTCTTTCACTCCCCTCTCAAACCGTCCGTCTTGGATGAAAATGTGAACACGGGTGTCCTTCTCCTTTAGGTACAAGTGTACAGCTGAGTCTTGAGGTGGCTCCCTTATGTTGTGTTATACATTTGTAAGGTGGTTGTTTGGTTTGTCCTGTTTAAAGGTCCCAGTATTCCTGACTGCACTGCATACACTATGCTGTTTAGCTTATGTTTGTGTGTGTTGTCCTTGGGTTGAACCAGTTTTAGTCTGAGGGTGTTGCTCAGCCTGAAGTGCACTGGGATGTTATGTTTGGAGGAAAAATCTTGATTTTCTTCAACAATTCTGCCACATAATGGACCAAAGTATTGTTCTATCATTCTGTTTCTGGCTGGTTGATGTCTGACATTCTGGTGTATCTTCTCTGATTTAATTTGATAGAACTGCCAATAATGTTAAAGGGTCTACTAGCAGCTATGCTCACTGTGGACATGTGACAAAAGTTCCGTATTGGAGGCCATTGTTAAGGTGTTAAAGTCAGTGGGTATTTTCATTTTGGATAATACTCATTTGGCTATATATGACCTACTTTTTAAAATCATTTGTGTGGTTAACATTCTCCAAACTAAAGTGTACTTTAGTATTTATATCCTTATTTTATTGTTTCACAATGTAGTCTGGTAAAAGACGGGTAATGGGCAGAGAAGGAGGGAGCACACGAGGTCATCGGTTATCGTCGAGTTCATGATGTTACGAGTTCCTTGTATATACTGTAGCAAGCTGAGCCATCAAAATGCACAAGTCCCAGATTTGTGTGGCTTCTCTGATGTGCTTGACTAACAGTTGCACTTCATTGCTGGGAATTGCAGCCTAAACTGGTGCAAACTGTCAGATGATGCTAATGTAAAGCTGACTAAGTTTTGTTTTTTGTTTGTTTGTTTTTTACGTTAGACTTTCTTCTTACCTTGGAAATGTATTTAGTTAACTTTTTTTTTTCATTTGTCCAAAGTAGGACAAAAAGGGAGAAAAGAGCCCTAAGATAAATGACATCTGTACAAACATGCCACTTATTACGCCTTTAACTTTAAGTGAAATATTCAGTATTGCTGTAATACTGTAGAATGCCAAAATAGGTTTTACATGTAATTATGTATTTAGACATTTACTTTAACAGTCACTCATCATGTCAAGCAATAGTAAAAAAAAAAAACACCTAATAAATATTTAATCTTCTAGATATTAAATAATCAAACAAACTGATGTACTTGTGGCTTTGTGCTTAAGTCTGTTTTAAGCTTTACCTTAAGTACACTGGGTTTTTGGGGGGGTTTGGGTTTTTTTTTTTGGTAACTTACATATTTGTCTTTATTTAATTAAGGGTAAATGTAATTTTACCTTAATGTAAGTGAACACCAGAAATAACTAAAATGACAAAGAGAAGACTGCTGTTTCAGGCCTCTTTTCTTCTTTTTAAAATTTATATAAATAGGCCTGAAACAGGAAAAGCATACGTCTTGATGTACATTGCGTCTTGTAACTGAATTTGCTCACACCTCATGTAGCCTTGCATGCTGTAGGTTTGATATTACAGGGCAAAAACTGAGTTTCATTCTTAGAGCAGTTCCAAGCAATTCATCTGGCAACCAGCAGCTTACCACTAACGGCCCGGTAGTGCTGCATGCTATCAATTTCAGTCTGTTAAAATAGAAATAAGAAACGAAAATGAATAACACACAGACCATATACAATATTACACAGCAAGGTTCAGGCTCAGATAAAGTGACGACAAGCGTATTGTTGACATCTGAATACAAACACAAAAAATCCCTAATTGGATTTAATTTATGTATTTACTTTTTAACAATTCAAATTTTTCATGCAGTATCTTAGGAGAATTATGATATGTTATACTTTTAGCTAGTCTTAGTCTAACTGAGAGCATGGTGTTGAGATCAGGACTCTGGGGGGTTACAGCATCTTGTTCTTGTCAGATGGTTCTTGGTGCTGGCTTTTTTTTTTGGGGGGGGTGTCATTGTGATGCTGCAGAATGAATGCTGAATGATCAGAATATTCCTCTTGTGTGCTCACCTTAACATGTTTTCTCCCCAGGACACACAAATCAGCTTTCGAATTGTTTTGGGGCTTTTTTGTTGTTGTCGTAGTTGCTTAAAGGGTAAGAGATGGTAGGGGCAGCCGCAACAAGATGTTATACTTTATTCAAAATTAAACCATTATTTGAAGTAGTTTAAAAAGGAATCTCAAGGTCTTTTGTTCTCTGGCCCCTTGGATAATATTAATCTAGTGTTGTGCTTTATTGGTGGCCTTATTTGCACTTGTTCTCGCACCTCTGTGACCTCATAGTAATGTCACTGGTGCGAACATGCCTGTTACAGCGGGCACTGCACTAATTGTCAGTTTGCAGGCAACTGTATGCTAATTGTGTTCATCAAAACAAAAAGAAAATGAGCCTCTGTAACAAAAGCAAAAATGTAACATCATGGTGGAGAACCTACTGCCCATTTCTCTGTATTTGTGTTATATTTAAAACTTTAGCACCAGCTTTGTACTGAAAGTTTGCTTTTCTGAATCAAAGTTTAAATTTAGCGATTTACTCAAACTCTTATGATCGATCAGTCAATGTCATGGATTAATCCGCCTATACTCTAATCTTCTTCCAAAAAAAGTTGTGCATGATTTTTATTGTTTTTGTTTTTTCTTTAGAGCTTATTCAGTCAAACCATAACAGTTTGGGACAGTTTAACCTTGTAGTGAGCTACAGTGCTTGTGTCCACATAAAGGAAGTTGTACTTTACTTACACTGTAAACTGGTACTTCAGATAAACGCCCATTTTATCCCAACACTGAGTGCATCAGTAAGGTACATAATCCATTTTCACTTTTTCTCTCACAGGAGCTGGAGAGTCGGGAAAGAGCACCATAGTGAAACAGATGAGGATCCTACATGTCAACGGCTTCAATGCAGAGTGAGTACTAGAGTGAGGCTGAGAATGAGCAGCATCCTGCTGAGTGCTTTTTTTTTTAAGACTGAGGCTTATGTTGGCTTGTGGGTTTGAAGACTTTTACCCCAGGCTGAATCTACATCTCCTCCTCTCAGCGCCACAGAGACCCCTGTAAGAGTTTCTGTCAATGGTCATAAGTTTCTAATGAAACAAGTATACCTCTTTGCAACTACTTTGACCTAGCAACAGCCAGCAACCATTTGGCAAATTTACACTTTTCGCTAGCAACTGGAGGTTTCCAAGGGGTCGCTGACCAGCCTGTAGGCTTCTGACTGTGAAGAGAACTGAGTATATAGTGGGATACTTTGTCAACTTTTAGTAGACCTAACTTGTATTGATTCAGTTGTAAAATGGTGCAATAGAATCCTAAAGGTAGTTTCATCTTCTTCTATATAGCCCTGGAGCATTGAAGTAATTTATTTATTAATATCCTAGTATTAGCAGAAATTATAGACATTTATTGATTTGGCTAAAAGTGATTATTTAGTGAGCTAATCCTCTGTAAAGACATGATGATGCCACTTAGCTCACTCATTGTTGACCAGCTCTGGTCAAAGCTAAATTGACTGCTATGACTAGGCCTAGTTTAAGTTTTGAAATCTGCCCAGGTAAGGAGAAGCGTGCATGTAAGGGTAAGGTGCTCCCAAGCCGTCTTAAAGAACTGACAGTCAGTACCCTAAAAACTGCTCACCTACAAGTAAAGTTAAGCCGGCTTTGTGACAAATGATTCCAATAATTTGCTGTTCTCCAGTGCCTCAACTGCTAGCCTCCACCATGTTGAAGAGTAGTTAGCAATGCTGCTCATTTTAAGATCAGGATAGTGGCACTCTTGCAAGAGATCTCCAGGGCAGAAGTCCATCTGAACACCAGACAAAATAGACAGAAGGCTGAATGATATGAAAGACCACTAGATCAGTGTCCTGGTCAGCTTTCCGATAGGAGAACATGAGATGGGAGTTGGAGCTAGCTAGCCAGCAGCTGAACTGTCAGGGTCTCCTAAGGTCACTCCAACAATATAACTGATAGTTGTTCCCTCTGATGGATTCTGTGTGAAAACTCTAAAGACTACACTTGTGTTGCATTCTCCCCCCCCCCCTCAGTGGTTTTGGGAGCACATCTTTAACTTTTGCTTAACCAGTTTCAGTAGTAAAATGAGATGTTTGTATGTGTCTGGGTTTGTATTGGTCTGGTGGTGGTCATGTATTGATAAGATGGAAGTATCTTTGCGAGGTTAGGCTAGATTTTCAGCACTTAAGGCAAACTTGGGCATATGACCCAGTGTGTGACTCCACAACACAGAACAGTGTGTGTCAGTGTGTCTGTCTCTGCTTGCATGGGTGGGATCTCTGTCTTCATTAAGAAACAAACCCGTAGAGTGCCATTGGAGTCATAAATGTGACTTGTGTTTATTGAGACCTGTATGGCTCATTCCTGTCCTCAGATTCACTCAATTGGAGGATTTTCATGTTAGGTGTATTGTCTGTGTATGTCTGATCAGACATCACCTTTGGAATTAATCACCTTCATCAATGAAGGTCTCTTTAAACCAAAACGGTGTTTCAGAACAGTTGCATGTGGGTCTTCACATGACAAGCATAATAATGTGCTTTAATTTGCCTGCATCCTCAGGCAGGACATAAATATACTGATTTGGGCCTTAAAGGGTTCAATAAGGCCTGTGATAAAAAGAATTTAGGGGTGAATGGATTGAGTGTTGTGGCATCATGGTAATGTCAGAGTAATTGTCTCGTGACCGGAAGACTAGCAGTTTTAATTGCCGGCGTGATTTGGGAAATAGATGAATGGATTACTCATCTCTCCATATTCTTTGAACAAACGTGACTTAGCTGCCCTTGGGCAAGGCATTTGGAACTGGAAAGTAGGCAAAAATGAGGACTGGGGTATTTGGGACATTTCTATTGAGGGGGAGGGGCAGATGATGGGCCTTAAAGTTGAATCAAAGCAGTTCATTTTATTATTATCCCCCCCACCCCCTTGGCCATGAAACCAACACAGCAAGCTTAAAAATGAGTTTCAGTCTGTTTTTTCTCTTTTTTTTGGGGGGGGGGGACTTTGCTGGGCCCGTTCTGGCCACCGCCCCTCACGTTTGACACCCCTGGTATAGATGGCCAGTTTAGTGTTGCATAATATGGATTAATTAATAGAGTACAGAATGATATTGCTTTCGAACCCTCTTTAGAAGGGCTATCATCTACCTAAACGCTTTTCTTTTTTGTTGAACACATGTTTTTTGGACGCAATCACTGTAGCACATATTGCATATATGTTGCATCTTTAAGTCCATCTCTCTCTAACCACACAGAGGGAAGCAGTTTCTCTGGAGAGATCACACAACCATGTGACAGTCTTCATTGATTATCAGTTTAAAAATGTAAATGGTGCCTCTCCAGTTCCCCCTCATAACCTCTTCCTCTTACCCCCATTTTATTATTTTTTTCTTTCCAGTTACCTCACACGTGGTTTGGTTTAAAATATGTTTTGTTTTTTTCACCACAAAGACTGAGTGCCAGAAATGCCAAGTCACTGAAGCTAGTGAACAGAAGTTAGCTTGTGGTGTCATGGCTTTAGCTGTATACATACATTTGTGGCTGTTAAGTGTAGATAAGTTTGTAAAGGGGACCGTTTCACCCTTGTCACTGACATGGAACTATTGTAAACACAATGTACTGTTGTCCTGGCAGGCTCAAGGTGAAAGATAGACTAACTGGCTCTCTGGTTGCCTTTTTATTAGAAACATTTTTGTCAGAGTCCAAATGTCTCAAACACACAGCTATCATTTACAGCAGACAGACATAATTTCGCTAGCATGCATGTCAATGAAGGTCTGTTTACCCATACAGACCAAAAACAAACCTAATGCAGTGGACTGTAATACACCCGGTCAGGGTAAGAGGGACCTCTAACACTTTTTTTTTTTTTTTTTTCCTAAGCTTCATTAAAATGATACTTTATAATAAAACTAAACATGTTTTTGAGGTAAATATAGTGGTTGAAGAGAGGCAGAGTTGCAGTGCAAGCTGTGGGAATGGCTGTTTTCTTTCAGTGGATGTGAAGTTGCTTTTGTATCATGCAGTTTTGTCCAGATTTTTACGCTGTTTGACAAAATGTCACCGACTGGTTCAAAAAACAAATGTAATCATTCTGTCACCATTGGCCTTAAATTATTTTTTAACACTAAATTATGTCTTGTCTTTTTATTTACTGTATTTTGCTCCCTCTTAACAGTTTCAGATTATTGCTGTTTTATGACTAATTTGTGGTCTCCATGTATTGCAGGTTAAATGCGAAACATTAATATCCAAAATCTTTAGGATATTAACTTTTTCTGTATATAACAAATCACCTGCAGACAAAAGTAGAACTTGTTTTACATGTTGTGAGCACTTCATCTCAGTCAAACAGTTTTTTATATGCATGCACTTTTTTCCTGTTCTGCAGACATTTGCAGTATCTCTGTAATTTACTGCTTCTCATTGAACCTTTTCTGTTTCAGAGAGAAGAAGCAGAAAATCCAGGACATTAAGAATAATATTAAAGAGGCTATCGAGGTAAGTGTGCTGTTGGTGGTTTAGTAGCAGCTTAGACAAATGCGGCCGTAACCTGTCCTGTTGTCTTATCGTTTTTCTTTGGGTTTGTCTTTTCTACAGACCATAGTAACAGCTATGAGTACCCTAACCCCACCTGTCCAGTTGGCATGTCCTGAAAACCAGTACCGGATTGAATACATCCTCAACTTTGTCAATCAGAAGGACTTTGATTTTCCATCTGTGAGTAGCAATATATCACCAAATACATATCAGCTTTGACATGTAGCTTTCTTTAAGTAATGTATTTAGCGGTTTTTCTTGTTTGCCTTGCTTTGAGCTTCAGAACGGTTTTATAATGACAGTAATTTTCCAGCTTTACTCTTTCAAATTGAACTCATGGCTCACATTTTCATAGTTCATTGCCCCAGTTTATGTTCTGCTAAGAATTGTAGAGTTGACATTATATACTTGGAGTTTGTTGGGTTGCTTCAGAAATTGGGATAGATGTGTAAGGTACATTTGAGGATTTTTATTATTTAAATTTGTTTTATTATTATTTATTATTATAGTCTGTATAATGGATCTGTAGCAGAGCCATGGCCTTTTCAGCTGTGTGTTTGTACTTCAGTAGATGATGGTATGAATTACTCCCAGTGTCACAGGTGATGATCTCTTGAAACGGTTAAAGACTGTGTCCAGAGACTGTTTCAGACACTGGGGTTTACTAATGAATCCACTGGTAATGTCTGTGTGGGTTTGGTATTCTCAGCGGGATATTTCCATTAACTAATTGTCTATCCCAAGAGATGGAGGTTTGCACAATACCTACACTAATATGATTATAGCAGTTTAAGGTGAAACAGTGGTATTATTTTTGGGAATCTTTTTCCATCTTGAAAATGTGTATGTTAAGACAACTGACACTTGGTATGCCGACATGCACTGGTGGTGTAGTAGTTAGCACTGCACTGCACTGCAGTGCTGGAGCTCAGCAGCATTTGCAAAAGTCTCTGTTTGAGGGCTAGTGCAATGCATGGGAAGTAAGTTATGCATTCAACACGAAAATGTTAGTGTGGACATTAGAGAGTCAGTGTTTATCTACAGCCACCTGTTGGGCTTGAGGTTTCGGGTCACTCAGTCTTGTATGACCTTTTCAAGAAAAAGCTTTTGTTACTTCTGTTTATTTTGTTTTATCAGCTGCCAATATGTCCATGTCACGCTGAGTCACAAAAATACAATTAAATGAAAATAAGAAGTCAAATGAGGATTTTTGTCTTGCCCGATAGTAAAGCATTGAACTATGGGGGGGCAACTAAACTGCCTCTCATTTCTGTCCATATAGTAATGCATCATATCATGCATCATCACATATATAGACTGTTTGATATATCAATTAACTGTTTTATTAAACAAGAAACTTGTTTCACATTAGCTGGTCTCGGCTGCTCAAAGTTGAAAATGTGTTACTTTAATACGGGATTGTAAACTTGAGGTTTTGAGTGTACCACAGCGTAACCAGAAGTGAAGGTTTGTGGTGCCGTGGTTGGCAATGGGAACGCTTTTGCATTGGGAAGGTTATCTCCGTGTATGCCTCCTTGTATGACATCATTTTAAATGGATACACAGAGATAAGATGATGTTTAAGGATAAGTTCTCTAGGAATAAAGATGATGTAATGTGAATAAAGTTCGTAAATGATAAATGGGGGTGGGGTGGTTGAAACTAAAGGGGCAGCTGTGTTTCAGTCAAGTAACTATCCTCACCAGACACCCATTTATTTACATAGTGGCACTGAGCTCACACTCTTACCCTGAGTGATTTGTAGTTTGTAAGCAGACAGCACATCTAACTCTGCAACAATTCATTAAGACGAATCAGCTGTCAGAGGACTCAAATCTGAGAGATTTAACCTACGAGCCACTCTCGTCAACCACTAAATCACCCCACTGCCCAATGAATTCCACGCAATCTGAGCTGTTGGGAAGCAATTATTTGTTTATGGTCGTTTTACTTGTTTGGTTGGATGACTTGTTTATGACAAGCATGGCATAGTTTCCAAGTTATAAAACATGATGGTGAAAAGTGTGTGTGTAGGTGAGCGTCATAGGCACATCATCACTTCCAGTCAGGACTGTGACATTATTAATTTATCTCGAAATGAAGACTAATGGTAAATCAGGATGAAACGGGAATTGGTTTGCAGGAAGTCAGTTGCCTTTAAACTGGCTTTAACAGTGCCCCTGTGCGCCTGCCACTATAAATGTTTAGGTTAGATTTTATTTTTAATTTAAAGGAGGGAGTATTACAGTTAATTCAGCAAGCAGAGTGCTGGTAAAGTTGTAAAGAGCTACGAGGACGGACGTGTCCACACGTGACACATGCAGGTTTGTGAACAGGTGAATTCCAACATTAATAGTTTAAAGCCGTTTACCACGGTCAAACCGGTTTAGGACTTTAATGGAGACGAGCAATTGAATCCAGTGCAGATTGAAAATGATTGGAGATCCTTATTTTGTCAGGTACATTATTGTAGACTACCTGCTGGATGATTGAGATAAGATAAGTCCAAGCCCATTTACTTTTCCATTACATGATGACTTGAGGGCTGCGCTAATTGTTACCAAGTCAGATTTCTTAACTTTAACCGAGTTTATGGAATGAGAGTGTTTCATTTGTAAAATGTGAAGAGCAAATTTTGTTTGCAATTTGAATCACAAATTTGTTAATGTCTCATCTCTGCAGCACATAGTGTAAATTAATAGACAGCAAGTCAACGGCACATTCCTGTAACTAAGTAAATACTGGATGACTTTCTACATATGGCTGCACACAGCAAATTCCAGTGTTTATGTGCAACAGACAGCCATTTGTCTATTGCCCACTCTAGCACACTATGTAGATTTTGGTAAACACTTTAAATTTCAAATTCAAATGTATAAATCAAGCACCTAGCCGTGCAGTCTGACTTTATAAATTCTGCTGAAAGAGCCAGTCTAAAGAGTTCGCTGAATTCGAGCATGGTGCTATATTAGGGATAGTAGTGTTGCAGCAAATCAGTTCATGAAATCTCTTCCCTCCTAGATATTCTACCATGAACTCTAAGTAGTATTATTGCAAAGTCAAAGTGTTTGGAAACCACAGCAACTCTGCTTCAAAGTGGCAGAGCAGGGTCGTCGAGTCCTGAGGCTCTAACACTCCGCTGACTCAGTAACCGCCAAACTTCCTCTGGCATTAACATCAGCACACAAACTGTGCACCAGGAGCTACATGGCATGGGTTTCCAAGGCTGAACAGCTCCTGTAGGTGTAAAGTGTAGGTGATTCAATACCTTTGTTCCTGTAGTGTAGGAGAAACCAGATATTTTTGACCTGCATTTGTTTAGTTTATAGATGAGCTAAAAATGGCTCTGCACATACAAAATACCTTTTGAGTCACTGCAGTTGGTCTGCTCTTAATTTCCCCCTTTTTTTTATTTTCTTTAAATGAGCGCATCCAATTTGATATTTTTTTTCTTAGTTTAGCAACTAACTGCAGTTATTGATCAAACAGTCACATATTTCATATCGCAATCTAGTGATGCCTAGAAATCTGCAGTAAGAGAAGCAGCATATCTCATATTAAATGTCAATATCACAGCACAGATGCTGGTATTTTAAAAAAAAAAAAAATGTAAATTTGCAATATAATGAATTTGGCTGTAATGAAGGAGAATATACTATATGTGTTTAGAGTGGGCATCTAAATCGGCAGAAAAACTAGTTGTGCTGTTTGTGTTAAGAAGTTATTTTGGGGTGATATGTCAGCAATAACAGGTGTTACCACCTTACAGCCACAAGTAAATTTCAGTAGCTTCCGTGCGTATAGCTACACACACACGGGCAACACGCTGTTGTACACGAGGAAAACCTCCCTGATTAGGAATGTGGAGACACAGGGTTTTGTCAAAATGCTCAACAGTGTGCTCATAGGGATTGGAAGACTCAAAGGAAATCAGACTTGTTCCTTTTTAAATCTAGGAGCAGAGTCACCTGACTAATGGCCATGTTTCTGTGACATTGATGAGAGAGAGGTTCACAAAAAAATGTAGTTAATTCGTTGCTCAGTAGTCCTCTCACAGGAGCAGCAGACCGAATGATCCATTTTTAAAAACTGTGCTAAATATGTATTGCGTATTTTTAAGGATGAAGGGTTTGGATGCTGCAGTTATAAAATGGTCCTTTTTATAGCAATGATTCTCATGGTGTTGCCACTTCATTTGGTAAAATCTACTGTAAGCCTGAGCAGCAGTTCAAACATCAACTCCACCTTCACAAAGCTTGCACACTTTCAGTTTTTGATGTTATTAAAGAAGCGACAAGTCAGCTTTGTTACTGGCTTCATAGTGGCTGGTGGTGTACCGGAGTGCTTGACATTACCTAATGTTTCTTCACCCACCCCGAATGTATGTTAATGGAGTGGACAAAATATTGGGAACATGCCGTGTTATGCAATCCAGCACACCACCATCCCACCACCAGCCACCATGAAGCCAGTTAAGAAGAATGCATGTACAATGCTCCGGACAGTTCAAGTCAGGTTTAACGGGTGTGCTCAAAGTGGTCAGTGAGTGACACACAGAGGTGGTGTTGTTGCTGTTGTTTCTGCAACTTTTTACTTCCTTAAAATTAAATCGGCAAAGGTGTTAAGAGTGCAAAATGGATAAATGCTTCATTGATTTGATGTCTGCAAGTCACAAAGTCTGTCTGCTATGAGGAATCTGCACCCTTATTTACCTTTTTAAAGATGTGCACACAGACATCGCCCAGGCACAACGTACACTGCATATGGTGTCAACAGAAACGCTGAGCAGGAGGTGCCCTCACATACACATCATGGACAACAGACAGCCCTGTACTACTACTTTTTTTTTCCCCCCCTCTGTTTCATGTCATGTTCAGTGTAACATGCACAAGGAATACACACAATCGCCTACTTTGAAACATGTTTAAGCACATGAGCTGTTGCTCAATCCTGTTTAATCATGCAGGGGTTCTAATGTTGTCTCGCATTTCCACTGCAGTGACACAGAACTTGTTTTTTTGTAATTTCATGATAAACATGATTACTAACAATGTCCAACTTTTGCTGATGCTTCTGCTCTGCCTGTATGATTCACCCCCACCCACCCCACGTCTTCTTGTTCTCAGGAGTTTTACGATCACGCAAAGACACTGTGGCAAGACGAAGGCGTCCGGGCTTGCTATGAGAGATCCAATGAGTACCAGCTAATCGACTGTGCACAGTAGTAAGTAACTTAAGTTCAACTTCATGATGACATGATTTATAAATGTAAGGATTCTGTGAGGGATAACTTCTAGTTTTTATTGATACTGTGCATGTGGTGGCATTTTGTGTGGTTATCTTATAGTTGGTGTAGTTTGCATACAATGGATTTCACATTGGGGTTGTTTTAATTGTCATATTTTATTTATTGTTTTGTTTGCTTTGAGTTACAGAAGCTTATTACTAGTAATCTGAGGCAAATGTTGTGTACTTGGGGCATCCTCAAAGTTGCATAGCAGAGCGGCTCCTTTCAGTTTGAGATGGTGTCAGGTCCTGCTGGAAGCCAGTTACAAGCAGGATGAACAGTTGCATTATTGACAAAGAAGTAGAGACTGAAGTATGTTTTCGTATTTGTTCTAATACGTCCGGTTTTATGACTAAAGCATAAGTAGGGTGAAATCTGGGGTAGACATGCTCATCATGATCCCAGCATGTGCGCTACTAAGCGGTTTCATGTCAGGTAAGGCATACTAATTGGGGTTTTTTCAATTCATGACTCCTATATGGCAGTGAGACATTGTATTATAGAAAAGTGCATTTTACCTTAATTTCCTTAAATCTGGTTAAATTATTTCCTTAGATTAAATGACAACTAAGGACTCAAAACTAGATGATAGCAATGTGAGCCCTAGCCTCGTCAATCCGGTTGTTAAGTGATGTATGAACCCTGCTTCCAGGTCCAAACTACTCTGCGTTTATTAAGGCTATTTTTGGTTTTGGTTTTTGTTTGGGTTTTTGTTTGTATCTTGTTCAATTTCATCTGAGCAAGCCCCCCAACACACAAAATTCAGTGATCACTGTCGACCTCTGTCGGTTTTATTACCACTACTCATTTTTAAAGCTCAGCTTTTAAAACCTTATGATGTAACTAAAGCCCCATGGAGTAGTATATTAATGACTAACCTCATATTTTGAATGGATTATCTCAGTTGTTCTCCTGACTGAAGTTTAGTCCGTTTACAGCTTCCTGATATGCAATTGCGTTTGTCCCTAACCATCGGGAACCATCACATGACCTTCTATTGAGTGGAAAAAAGTTGGCATTCATCTTCCAACTTTAGTGTGCTAATGTGTTTATATTATGCAAACCATAGCTGTGTAGCTAGCAGTGACATAGAACAACATTATATACCAGCTAGTCCAACTTCAGTAACCCTACAAACATCATTGTTTAGTTTTCCATCTTCATTTTTGTCAGCTGTGATAGTGGAGCTGTAAGTTTTTAATTTTTTCAGAAATCTCAATCAGATCATGGTTTCCATCTGTAGCTGGACGCTAGCTCCCGGCTAGCTCCCGGCTGTTATGGTGAATGCCTGGATGTTAAACCTAATTGTTACACCTGGTAGAGCAGTCACATTGATCATTTTATTAAAGAGGAAAGAATTTAGGCAGTTTGTAACTCTGTGATGCTGCTATATTTGTTTGAAGTGTAGCTTGGACCCAGAAACGGCTAATAATATCAGACTTAAAGACCGGATAGTATGAATGCTCTATCTCCCTGAGAGATTACCAAAAAATCTACTTGTTAGTGAAGCACTATGCACCCTTCATAATATTTACTGTGCTTTAAAAAAGATATAAAAACAAAAAACTAAATGCAATGAGATCCAGAGTTTATTTCCCATCAAGAGGAGAAAGCTCATAGGTAATATCGGCATATACCACCTACAGTTATGGACTTCACTACTGTAACCGGTGCTCATACTCGAGTTTATGAGATAAACAACTTAACCAAATGTTTTGACTTGACTGTGACACGTTTCTTAACAAAGACTCAATTCTGTTTTTCTGAACCCTTCTCCATACCTTCACCACACACTGCATGTTTTCAACAACACACACTGACTCAAAGTTGAGGAAAAGAGATAAAGTAGCTCGTCTATAAACAAAGTTGCATGAAGCTCTAATTTAAAATCAACCCAGCAGATAGAAACGCCCTCCTTCTGTTTCCTCTCATTTTCCCAATGTGCGGGCACCAACGCACCCTTACACATGTAAATGACGAGTGTGGTCATATGTGAAAATGCTGGCATGCAATTGTGTAGTGGAGAAGATTAGATTTGATGATGCTGATTCAGTGCATTAATGAGGGAAAACTAGCTAGAAATCATCTCAATTGGGAGTGAATCCGACAATATCAAAGCTCTTCAGCATAAAGGGAAATGAGTCTCTTGCTGAATTAAGACAGATACCAGTGCATCACTATTATTAAAACAGCTTAGTCTTCAAGTGGTGTTTCTAAACATGCAGTTTTCATGTCCTGGTAAACACTGAAATAAAACTTAAAGGGTCATATTTTTGGGATACATTAAATACCTGCGGACTTCTAAAAATCACTGACGAGACTTGGAGCACTCTGCATCTGCTACAAATAAAAACAGCAAAGTTATCATGACCTGTCAGGAGTATGGAGTCATCCTAACAAAGGTGGATGACTTTAAAAAGGGAGCTGAGACAGGAGTCACTGGTTGAAATCTTAAAATCTGGATGTGCATACGTTAAGTGATTAAGGAGGGTCCTAAATGTATATATTTTTTTTTTATTTTTTTTTTTTATTTTTATTTTTTTATGGGTCAGAGTTGTCCAGTTTATATTTTTTGCAAACAAAAGCAGGTAAAACCACAAAGAAAATGTATAGTGAAGGAGTCGTGTAACAGCTGCAGTTTGCAGGGTTTGGGAGCAAACATGGCGGAGGCTGAGTCATCTACAGATCAGAGGATGCTTAGAGGAGGGGGGGGTGATGTTTGAGGAGGATACCTTCGCTGCTCAGCTCCTGACTATGACCCTGTAGTCTCGACTGTTTTTACTAATAAATCCATCCTGGTGAATAATGCATCTGGTCATTGAGAAGTTTAGATCGGTTTGATCTTTAAAAAGTTGATTTCCTCACTCAAGTGGTACAGTCCAGTCTGTGATCCCTCCTCCGTCCTTGCACACAACACAAACTCATCCTTCTCTTTCTTTCATTCTCTCCTCCTTTTTTCCCCTTTCTCCATCCGTCTGTCTTCTTTCTGGAGCTACTCCAGCTGCACGAGATTGGGTGCTGATAGACTATTAATAGTGCCTGTGGTTGGGTCTCCATGGTAACCGTGCTGCAGGCCAGGGCGCTGGGGAGCTATTTTTGAAATCTGCTCTGTAATGTCAGACAGACGCCACTACGCCTTCATTCTGTCTCTCTCCTTCTGTTTCTTTACCTCTTCCATTCTCGTGTGTGCTCTCATCTTTCCTTCTGGACACTTTTTTTTTTTTTCTCTTTCTTTCTTCCCTCTCCGGATGGGGCTGGTGGTTGCTCGGACCTGCAAAGAATCCCAAAGATTCTCTCACTGTCCACTTCCTCTTCCTGTTTCCTAGTTCATCCATGTCTTCTATGATATATTGATGACCTGTCATTGGCAAGATGTTTGAATGCTGCCTGCGGCTTGTTATGCTCTTTAACACAGCACTTCTTGGTCCTCTTTTTACTCAAATGTGAAATAATTGCAGGTGTTGCAGGAGGCCCACCTTGAGTGAGGAAAAAGCTACATTAAATACTATACATATTAAAACTACCGAATGCACTGCGCTCTTCTCCATAAGATCTTAGTTTCCTCAAGCTGGGTGTAACCTGAATCTATCGTCTTCTGCCCTTTGAGTTGTCATGATCACTTGTAGCTATGCTCACTCCCTGCTTTCACATTGATTGACGCATTTTGGCATACTGGACAACAGCTTTAGTGTTTTCCCTGCATATTGAGTGAGCAGTGAGGATGCTTCTGCCTTCAAGGTCACCTGCTGTAGAAAAATACAATTAAATTCAAAAGTTGGTTTTATTGGTATCTATTGGAGACTTTAAGTCTCAGTCAGTATGTCGGGCTCAAAACCACACGGACAGCCTCTCTGGCAAACTGGTTTTGTATTTCATATAATACCACAGCTGTGGCGATGTACATGAGAGATGATACTTAAGTGTTGCTGGAGAAAAAGTGCACAGTCATGCCTGGTATTATACCAGTTTTGTTTTTTTTGTCTCTTATTTGATTCCTTGAGCACACCTGTACAAGTCTTACAAATATGAAACCACTGTGTGGTCTATAGTATTACTTCGGTAACTGTTCTCTTGCCTTTGTTTGTCTCTCGTCTTTTCAGCTTTCTAGACAAGATTGACATTGTGAAACAGAGTGACTACACTCCAACAGATCAGGTGGGGAACTTCTTCCACTACAAAGTTAATAATATCCTACATTTCACTATACAACTATTTCCCCTGAATAGTATTTCATGAGGAAGGGACTTTAACATTTTGGTCCCTGTCACATATTAAAGTTAAGCTTTTGCTGCTTTGGTGCCAAACTCAAATGTGTTATAACCTCTTATTTTTCATTTTGAAATTCAGTATATTGTCCAAATATTCCATATGTTGGATTTGTATCTTGTGAGTGTTTCTCCAGGTTTGTCACTGTAATCTGGCACATAAAAGCCTTGTTGTTGTTACATTTGTCACTCCTTTTCACCAGGATTTGCTGAGGTGCAGAGTACTGACTTCAGGGATCTTTGAGACGAGATTCCAAGTGGACAAAGTTAATTTCCAGTAAGTAAAAAGGGTGGAGAGTAACAGTTTCATTCAAAGGTAATCTACAGTGTCGGCTGAGGATATAAACACAAATCTGCTGTACATATACATTTTCTCCACATGATGGCAGCATTTTCCATGTTTACATTTATATCTGTACAGTATGTTTGATGTCGGCGGTCAAAGGGATGAGCGCAGGAAATGGATTCAGTGCTTTAATGGTAAGTGGTGTTTATTTCCTCTCACTTCCCTTGACTCGTATCCTTTTCTCTCAGGGTGTCTGATTTATCTCCGTTCCTCCCTCTTCCTCAGACGTAACAGCCATCATCTTTGTGGTGGCCAGTAGCAGTTACAACATGGTGATCCGAGAGGACAATCAGACCAACCGTTTACAGGAGGCCCTCAACCTCTTCAAGAATATCTGGAACAACAGGTGAGTAAAGACGCCAAACCTGTCATCCTGTGGACTTGCAGTTTGTTTTGTATTGAATCCTGAGATTAAGTTGACAGCATAGGAAATCAGAAAGCCTTCGCAGAACTTCAGCTTCTCAAGGGTAGACAAGTTATTTATTAAACATGGTTTCGAAGCTAGAACACTTTGAGCAAGTCCTAAGGGAACTGTTATCTGCTGACGCCTGTTATGGCTTATTTTGGCTGACTGAACTTTGTCTTTTCACACTTGGAAACAGTTTTATATTTCAGTGTGATCTTATTTCAGTCTCTCGTCTTCCTCAGGTGGCTGCGGACCATTTCTGTCATCTTGTTCCTAAATAAACAGGACCTGCTTGCAGAGAAGGTGTTGGCAGGGAAGTCCAAAATCGAAGAATACTTCCCGGAATTTGCTCGCTACACCACACCTGATGATGGTGAGCTGCCTTATTACAGCATCTGATTTTGAGCATTTTGTGTGTGTTGTTAAGATTAAGTAAAATAAAAAATTATACCGATGTGAAAACACATTTTTATTTTCATCAATGAAATTTATCATTATAAAAACAACTGGAAAATTCGATGCAACAACTCATCCAGAAATTTGAAAGGGTGCCTTTGATATCATTCACCACAAGGGGTCATCCTCGATACACCTAGAAGATTTTTGTAGTGAAGCGCTTGCTCTGTGAGGTGGAAGGCTTCTTTTTACGTCTTACGCATTCTGCTATAGAGATGTAGTGTCTCCTTACTAGTTGTTGCATTGTCATGTTTAAATTATCTACCTGTTAAATTGCATATTGTGAGAAGTTAGTCACTGGCCTCTGTCTCCTCTTACAGCGACGCCAGAACCTGGAGAAGATCCGCGTGTTACAAGGGCAAAGTACTTCATCAGAGATGAGTTCCTGGTAAGTGTGTAGCTGTCTTTCATGGGATTTGTTGTTTTTAAATGTATGCAGTGGGGGGTGGGGGTTATGCTCTAATAAAATTTGTGCAGCAGAAACGTGTCCAAAAGTTGTTTAGCAGCTTCATAACTTTTCCTTTCTTCTACAGAGGATCAGCACAGCAAGTGGAGATGGAAGGCACTACTGTTACCCCCATTTCACCTGCGCCGTCGACACAGAGAACATCCGCCGTGTCTTTAATGACTGTCGAGACATCATCCAGCGGATGCACCTGCGGCAGTACGAGCTGTTGTGATGGGAGAGGAAAGGTGTTAGGCCAAAAAGATAAACCAGATCGGACTATGGAAGACGAAAAAGAAATCCCTGAACCTGCGTCTCTGAACTCTTCTGCAGAAGTATGAGAGCTCTTGTGACACAACAGGGGCCAAAACACACACGCACTTATAGTAAACACGCCGTGAACCCAGAACTTCCCCTGATGCAGAATTTTTGACGGATGGGTTTGAGGGGCTTACACATAAAACAGACTTCAGTCTTGACTTTCAGCCATACTCCCAGCTCCTCACCTTTCGACATTATGTTATCGTCACATTACCTTCACCTTCCTAAAAACAAAAAAAGTGGCCCAGTCCGGACTGAGTTTCCTGCAGCGAGGGTTGGAGCTGCAGCTTGAGTTTTGTTCCCTTTTTTTTTTTTTTTTTTTTTTTTTTTTCTTCTCTCCCCTGATTGGGCTGAAAACTAAGAGCTACTACTTCAGTGTAATTGGGAAAGAGATGAATTACTGCAAATGGAGAATGAATATATCACAGCAGATCAACTGAACACTGTATTTAAGAGAGACAGAAAAAACAAAAAAAACAAGCACTGTGCTCAGGACTTTGACTCAAACCATGTACACCAAACCTTCCTTTCACTTAGAGACATCTTTAAATCCAGTGGCTCTGCTTGCGCACACACAACATATCTCACCTGCTTTTTACTGGACTGCACAACAGGGGGTCAATCTGGCAACGCACGTACCTGCTCACGTTTCGTTGAGATGCTGGCTAATTTATCTGGGTCGGTGCTTTTTGAGATTAAACGGGCGAAGCCGAGCCAAGAGGAGCAGCGTTACCACAGACTTAACCAGACCACGGGTGTGTTGGTGAGACTTCACTTGAGCAGGTGTTCACTAAAACGGGATGGGAGCCAACTGCGATTTGAATTTCTCTGATGGGAGGTGTTGGCCGTGATTGACCGGGGCGCCAGTGGCTTCTCTACAGAACTGTTTTGCCACCTGACTTTGCCTTGTTGGTATCGGAGCATCACGTGAGGAGGATATATTGAGTTTAAAACAAAAAGAACCAGAAATGCCAACTTCTATGGAACTTTCAATGGAGGGCGACGGGCATCCTTCAACAGTACAGTACCATATAAGTTAAAGAGAACTCTCATCCTGTTATACTGTCTCCACAGCTGTTTTTGTCTGTGTAGACTTTTGTGCCATTGTGCCCTGTGCGCCCTTTCTTTATCTCAACTCTTTGTCATCCTTTTGTCACCCGTTCTCTACACGTTCTCCATCTTTCGCCCACCCTCTTCACCGCCACCTTTTCCATTTGCACTTTTACCTTCCTGGCAGTGCTCTTTCGTTTTAAAGAGAAAATAAGATATATTAATCTTGGAATATTAAAAACACAACAAAATGGGACTTTATTTTTTCTGCCCCCACCTGTGTGCTCGCACCTCCCTGCCATTCCTCCCTCCACCATTCCTCCTCTCCTCCCTTGTATGTCTGTCTTTACTTTACTGCTGAACTATTATTCTTGTACAGACTGTAAAATGTATTATTTTGTACAACTTTATTGAGGAAAAAATAACTTTTAGAAGATCCCTGTGCCTTGATCACGACTGTACGTGTGTAATGAGCTAAAGTGGGTGTCATACTGCGCTGTATAGCTTGGCCAATCCTCTCCCTGCCTCCCTCGCTCTTACCTTCTCTCCCTTTCTTTATCCCCACCTCTCTCTTTCTCAAGCTAATTCTTTCTCCTCTCCTTTCCTTGGAGATGGTGGATGACCATTTGTAGCTTTAGTAGTGTTTTGTTTTTTGGGGTTGTTGGGTTTTTTGTTTGGGTTTTTTTTTTTTTTTTTTTTTCCCCCCCCCCCCCCTTTCCTTCTAGCCTATCTTTATGATTTAATGTCTTTTTTTTTTTTGATCCATATACCCCCAAAAAGATAAATATGAAATGTATATGGGTTCTAAAGTATTTTATTAGAATCAAATGAACCTTGACAAATTGTACACTTGATGGTGTGCATATTGCTATAACTTAATCCTTTCAACTGAAGTTGTTTGGGATTTTTTTTTTTTTCTTCCACACACTGAAGGGTTATAAGTGGGAGGTGACAGATGCAAAACATTGCTTGTTTCTACACAAATCGTTATTGTTTTTGCAAAAAAAGAAAAAAATGGCCAAAAAAAAAGAACAATTTGTTTTTCTTTTCTGCTGAGGGGGGAGGGGGTCCTCCTGCCTAGCCTTGCACAGCAGAGGCAGCCTGTACAGTATTAGCATCTCTCATTTCAGTGCCCTAGTCTCATTTAATGTGTACATCAAATATGGGTCTACTTTCTGAAAAGGAGCTCTATGAAATAAAGATTTTTTTTCTTTTCTTTTTTTTTTTTTTTTTTTTTTTTTTTTTTGGTGCAAACAGCAACTGCTTTGTCATGTTTTTGTCATTACACTCTACGCAACTCAGGGGATGGAAATCAACAACACTATTAGACAAAAGTGCATCCAAGCTTATCGATTCTTATGACTGTTGTAATTCGCAAAACAACAATCCTCATGGCAGTGAACATTTTGCACATCTACCTGTGTCTTTAGCTCCCAACCAAAAAACTGATCTCCACTCGTGAAAATCAGTAACGTATCGGACCAAATCGCTTAATCTTTAACGGTGCTGATATTTATTTATTTATTCCCCCCCCCCCCCCTTCTCCTGCCCCCACCACAGCAAAAAAAAAATTAGACATGCCTTGTCTTGCAGCTTTTACAATCAGAAGTATGATCTGAATGCACTGTTGTATCAAACATATTTGCTATTTGAAGTCTAGCTCTATAAATTCTTTAGGCTCCTCTTGTTTTGTTTTTGTTTTTTCTCTTTATTCATTTATTTCTACTGCTACTCAAAGTACATGTGTAATATAATGATCTCAAAGAGTGACTGGTAGGAATAAAAGAATATGAAAGGATGTAGCACGAGTAGAAAAGCACAATGGGTCGCCAACTGTGCGCCCACTTTGATCTTAAAAGGGCTGTACCTGAGAGAATCTTTAGCCCGTATAAAATAATTTAAATGCATATTTACTGCTTGAGCTATCTTATACGTGATAAAGAAATGTGTCAACATGACTCTTCGGACTCGAATGTGTAAAATTACAAAGTTCTGGTAGCTCATTGCCTAGGCGGTCCTGTAATTATGAAATGGAAAGTTTTTAACTGAATTTCCTATTTTTATTATTTGACTGTGGACACATTGTTTTTTTTGTTTTGTTTTTTTAAAAAAAAGAAAATTCAGACGACCTCTTAACTTTGGCACTTATCTATTACTTAGAGTGTGGCTGTGGCGGAGGTCTTCTTCGGTAGGAAAAATAAAACTTCTGAAAATACATTTAAGTGCAGGATTTATGCCCTCCTGCACAATTTTCAAAGACTTCCAGCAGGCCAGGTTGGAGTCTTGGCCGAGCAGATTCTGGTCCCCTGGCCTTATGTTTGACACTCCTGGTGTAAATGATTTTCTTGCATGTATCACCGATGTGAGTATCTAAAGGTAAAATTACCTAGTTTTATTCTAGATTAAGTAACTCCCAAGCCTACTCAGCTCAGTTTCCATGGTCTCAGTCAAAAAAGAAATATTGCAGCCTCCTAACAAGTGCCCTGATAATTAAAATATATATATATATTTTTTGTTATCATTAAGCACCTAAACTTAAAAACTTGACATGTTGATTCCATATTTTCAGAACTTACCAGGTGTGTTTTGAAGCGGTGTGTATGGAAGCAATGCACAAGACTTTTCTAGTACATGTTTTTGTTGTTGTTTGTACTCTTAAAAAAAAGTTTATTCTCCAGCTGTCTGTATCCAAAAACTCAACATTTTCCTTAGTGAAATTTTTTTAATTAATTTTAAGCTTTGACATTAGCAGAGTTTGCTTTTTTCTATTTATTTTTTTTCAGGTCTCTCTTGGAAATTAGATTTTTAATCTCAATGAGATTTTTTTTACCTGGATAAATAAAGGACTAATATTTTTCTGCTGGTCTCACCAACCTAAGCAAAGTTTAAGCTGATGCCAAAGTCACCGTTGGGACAAGAATGGAGTGAAAGCAGTGTCCAAAACCATATGCTGGTTATTTTCTACAAGGAAGGTGTTGCAGAGCATGGTGTAATGAGAATGGATTGTGATAAGGTGGTAGAAAATCACAGCAAGGGAAAACTCATATCTGATGGATCTGAATTTGAGCTAAATGAAGTCCATTCAGATACAGATATAAAATAGGAGGAGAGGGAATAAGTCTAACTGGGGTCCTCAGCAAGAACTTTATTTGGAAAAACATAGGACACAAATGTGGAAAAAAAAAAACAAAGCCAAGAAAAACACAGACCAGCCTCTCCATATTTTTCCTGTGGGTTGTCAAATCTGGCTGAATTAATTGGTGTTACCTAATTCAAAGTCTACTTATGGTGAGGGGTTATGCAGACCTATTGGAGGAATTTTGGTTGGCATTATTTTCAAAGGAAAGGTTTGCAAGGTGGCTGTGAGACTTGTTATACTGCATGGTTTGAAGATATGACACTAACGAGAGGCAAGTTGAGATGGTTTAGACATGTGCAGAGAAGGTATAAAAAATATGTATTAATGCAAAGGATGCTGAATATGGAGCTACCAGGCAGGAGGAAAAGAGGAAGACCACAGAGAAGATTCATGGATGAAGTGAAGGAGGAAATGCAGATGGCTGGTGTGAGAAAGAATTCAAGGGAGATGGCAAGATGAAGACAGATGATCTGCTGTGGTGGCCCCTACTAGGAGCAACCAGAAGAGGACTCTTTAAAAGTCTATGGCAAAAAGGATCTGAAATTTCTTCCATATACTTGTATGGTTTGTATTTTTCATTATTAAAACTATATAAGATTAAAACATAACATTTTAAGGAATGTGTAGCAGTGCTTTAGGCCTTAATGTAAAATTTTTATTGTGGCTGAAGTGTTCATAGTGCTGTCTTATCTCAGTCCTGAGCTGTTCAACGTTGGACTTTCTTTGACAGCACTAACAAAAACCAGCTCACGTCACCTGCTAGTCCCACCCACAGCGTGACGTAGCCCTTTCCTTCCTCGTCTCCGCTGCTAGTAAAGTTAGCAGTAGCACCTTTTAGCCTCCAGCAGCTGTCGGTGGCAGTCAGTCAGCCAGCCTGTCAGTTCGAGTGGCGGTTTGTGTTTGTGCGTGTATAAATCCCCGCTCTTTATTTACCCTCCCGTAGAAAAACCGAGGGCGGCCGGGTTGTTTCTTCGGGAGCCAGCTTGCTTCACCTCTGCGGGCCGACTGCGATAAAAAATATTGTTGTCCTCGCCGTCACGACAGGAAGAAGCCCTGGGACATGGCCAGACCAGAACAAGTCCTGTTGCTGGAGCCACAACACGAACTGAAATTCAGAGGTAACCGAAGAAGCGGAGGGCAGGGCCGAGCTTAGGTAGCTAACACAGGAGACGTTGTAAATGAGAGCCAGTATTTCGATTTCTGCACTACCGAGTAGTTGAACGTGCCATTCGTTGTCTATGCTGTGGTAAAACGTGAGGGGTATAGCTGTTAGCTGTAGTCTACATTGTGCGTACGACAGTTGTGCGGTGACAGGTGAAACGACACTGTGCGACGGTGCTAACTAGCTCGCTGGAGTAGCATCCAGCTAATCTCACTAGCAACAAGGCAAACTGCTAGCTGTCATTGCAGCGTCAGGGCAGGCCCGCCGCACCGTTTCTCTAATTCTCTCATTTGCTTGTCATACTTTCTCTTTTATACTCTGACAGCATTGGAAACACCTCGATTTGATCTAATGGTTCAGTTAAGCTTCCCCTTCGGTGTCGTTTCTACTGCCCGACTGCAAAGAATTCCCTATTCTAGCATTTTCTACGATCAGGGTGTCATTGCTTATCCTTATTACCATGCTATTTCACAATATTATAAGCTAGCCGGCAGGAGATTTGGCGTTTTCTCCCGCTGTGCAACCCGAATTCCTTTACAGCTTTTCTGTATCCAAGCACAATGATTATGACATTACGGACTGAGCTGCAGTGCCAGCGGTAATGATTATTTTCTTGGATAATTACCTTGGTGTGTCATTTTTGCTGCAGAAATGGGTCAAGTGAGGGCCTAGGGTGGTGGTATCAGTTTGAAGTGGGCTGTTCACTGATTGATTGTTGCAGGGCTTTGGAGAAGGTCCATACACCCACTCTGTTACTGATGCACACTTGCATCAACATCAGTTTACAAAACCAGCTTAAGCTGTCAAGAAAAGTGTGAGAGACCTAATTGCTACAGAGACAAAAGGAAAACATTAGCACTTAAGACACCCATCTAGTAATTTTTCTGCAGCATCCAACGTTTGGCTGAGGGCGTGGTATGAATTATAAACACGTGCACACTTTGCTGATCTCACCACTGTTTTAATGTTTAATTTGCTCTGTTTGTGGCAGGCTCTGTAAAACCGCTAAAAAAAATCTGCTCTCATATTGATGTTTGCAGAAATGGATTTTTACATTGTGTATATTTGCACTTTTACCTGGGAGAATCTTTGTGCACCCACCCTGTTTTCTTTCTTCTTAGGAGCCCAGGTGACAAACAAATGCTGCATCTATACCCAAACCACGAGACGTGTAAATTCACCCACATGCTCGCACGCACACTCAAGTCACTGCATTTCTTTCTTTCTCATCCTCAGGCCCATTTACAGATGTTGTCACCGCCACCCTGAAGCTGACCAACCCCACAGACAGAAATGTGTGTTTCAAAGTCAAGACGACCGCACCTCGCAGATACTGTGTGCGCCCAAACAGTGGCATCATTGACGCTGGAACCTCCATAAATGTTTCTGGTAAGGGTTTTTGCATCTTTTTGCCATACAGAAAAGTTGGTAAAGCTGTGAACCTAATGTAGAAGTTCAAAGGCTTATACTGATCCATTTTTGCCTAACTCGGTAATTAACATTAGCTTATTGGGCTTAATAGAAGTAAAACTATATTGAGTTGTCATAATTTAAGTGCTAGATAAAGTGTAATATACTTACATTTAACAGCGTCAGATATGGAACCGTAGTGCTGAACTAGCAGCAACCATGTATTGTGTTGCAGCACGCAAATAAAGTGTCTCGCCTGCACTACCTGTAATGGATACTGCAGTCACTACCTGAGTTTATAATTACATCATGCTTGGAGACATTTTACACACATGCCTCCTTATGACTTTCCCAATAATCTGTCTAATCTGCACATAACTATTATATTTAAATTAAAATTTAAAAAAAGACTTGTTTCTGACAACTAAAGTGGTTTCTGTCTCCTGCAGTTATCGTTTTCTTTTTTATTCTTTCATTTTTGTTTCTTATTTTTTTGGAGGGTGGTATAATTTACTCAAAGTTTACATTTTTGAAAACATTTTATTCACAGCATAAGATGGGAAAAGTGTCAAATGTTTAGACATGAGACATTTTACTACCTCATGAATAAGATGAGTTCAGTTCAAATTTGATGGCAGCAACACATAATTTTTTTTTTTTAAAAAGACATCACGTCCTTTGAACTAAAGCAAAAAGTGCTTATATATGGCTCTAGGGCAGGGCGATATGACCAAAAATATTTATCACGATATACATTTGAAAATTTGCGATAACGATATAACTGACGATATAATTGACACTAGACAAAATACT